TTCCAGGGGATCTGATGCCCTCTTCTGGCCTCTGAGGGCACTGCACACATGGGTACACTTCACATAGATGCAGGCAAAACACTCATACACATAAAAGGGGAGGGAGGGAGGGAGGGAGGGAGAGAGGGAGGGAGAGAGAGGGGGAGGGAGGAAGGAAGGAAGGAAGGAAGAAGATGGAAACTCTGTAAGATTACTTGTAATAATACATCTTGTGGTTAATGGGTTTGTTTAGTAGTTTACTAAACATTAAATTTTATACTTACCATCTAAAAATGAAAGGTATCTGTTGATGGTTTCCGTGAAAATGTGTCTCTCAAATTCTCCCTTCTTAGACTGGTTTAAAGCACCCCAGTTGTTGGTTGCAAGAATGGCTGGCAGAAATATTTTTTCTAGCATATTCTTGATCCCCTGTAAGAGTCCTTTTGAGGCATCCAAGACAGTAAATAGCACATCCTGAAAGGATGGTATTCAATTGTGATATGTTAATTCTACTAAGGCACTGAGAACCATCATAGGTTATTTTTCATTTGCAGTGAACAATTGATGCACTCTGTAAACCATCAGGAAAACCTAAGTAGTTATGAATATTAGAGCTCTAAAACCAACAAAGTCACATTCTGCCCCATGCTGACCATTTCCATGAGCTTTTGATGGAGATGATTTCCTCTGTCCTTTAACTTCCATCAAGGGGAAGAGTTACAGCCACAAGTTTAGCCAGAGCCAAGGTGAGGGAGATGCAGTTGAGGCTCTCCCAGACAGAAATCCTCAGGTGAAAGGTGCCCTGTCCATGAAAACTATCTGGCAAGGTATGATGGGGAATCTTTATTGTCAACTGCATTGGATCGAAAGATGGTCAGGTGATTAGTAGGGCACTCCTCTGATGTGTCTGTGATGTTTTTTCCATAAATGATTATTACATCATGAGGGCTTCTTAATACGGTGGTACTCTGAAGAACTGGTCAAAACTAGGCAGTGGGACCTAGGTGGGAGGAATGGGCCACTAAGCCAGTCGTTGGGTTATGTCTTGCACTGGCCCCTTCCTCTAACTCTTTTCTCCTCTTCCTGATTGCCATGGCTTTCAGATCCACTACCTGCCTCAGTCATGACTACATTTGCATAGTTATAATATAAGCAAATACTTAGCTAAGCACCATAGCATTTACTCCATCAGAAGAATGGAGGGATGGGGAAACAAGAGAAGGGCCAGGGAGTTTAAAAAGAGCCAAGTTTGCCAAGCATGGCAGAACATACATTTAATCCCAGCACTTAGGAGGCAGAGGCAGGCAGGTCTCTGTGAGTTCAAGGCCAGCCTGGTCTACATATCAAGTTCCAAGTCAGGCAGAGCCACATAGTGGGACTCTATCTCAAAAAAAAAAAAAGCTAAATTCTCATCTTCTATAAAGGAAAGCCTGCAGATAATGCCTAAAATCACAAAATGAGACCATCAGAGGAAAATTTAGCAATGTGGAGATAATTGAATCTTAAAAGTTTTAAGTGTTGCTCCTAGAGAGTGGAACAGAGGTCAGTCTTGCATAAAAAGGCTAAAATAACCTCTTCTTCCCTTAAACTATATATACATGTAACAGTAACTAAAAAAAAAAAAAAAAAAAAAAAAAAAAAAAAAAAATGGAAAGAATGCTCAGTGGCTGGGAGCTCTCACTTCTCTTCAGAGGACCCAGGTTTGGTTTCCAGTACCCGCATGATGGCTCAGAACCACCCACAACTCCAGTTCTGGGAGTTTTGGCCTCTTTGGGCAATAGGCACAACACCATAACACACACGTAGGCAAACACTCATACACATAAGATTAAATGAATATTTTTTAAAAACTAAAACCATAAGCAGGTTGTGGCAGCATACAATTGTAGTCCCAGCTACCAGGAGGCTGAGGCAGGATCGCTTGAGCCCGGGAGTTCAAAGCCAGCCTAAGTAACAGAGTGATACCAACTTTCAAAAAACAAAGAAAAAAGACTGGGGATAGAACTGAGTATTAAAGTCCTTGGCTAGCACATTATCCAAAGGAAGAGAGGGAGGGAGGGAGGGAGGGAGGGAAAGAGAGAGGAAGGAAGGAAGGAAGGAAGGAAGGAAGGAAGGAAGGAAGGAAGGAAGGAAGGAAGGAAGGAAGAAATCAATCCAGGAGCTGGAGTTAAAGACAGTTGTGAGCCACCATGTGAGTGGCTGGGAAACAAGCCTGAGTCCTCTAAAGGGGCAGTAAATATACTACACTTCAGTTTTGTTTGCTTTTTAAAAATCACCATTATATATGCATGTTGTTTAAAGGAAGAGGAAAGATGTGGGGGGAAAGGAATGGAAGGGAAGAGTCTAAATTGTTAAATAGAACAGGTTGAATCATGGACAGATCAAAGAGAGAATTGCTGAAACGGAAGGCAGCTTGAACAAACATCCACACATAGAAACAGCCTGATGAAACCAGAGACTTCAGAAACAAACAGGAAAGCAGGCAGAAAGGAAAACGGTGGACTGCTCATGAAGCACACTCATAGGAAGGGTTTTACCAGTCACAAAATGAAGGGAAATATTTACAAGGAGGCCAACCTGGGCTACACGAGGCCCTGCTGCAAAGAAACAAAACAGAAGCTGGAGAGATGACTCCGTGATTAAGAGCACTGACGGCCCTTGCAAAGGACCCAGGTTCAGCTCCCAGCACCCACATGGCAGCTAACAACTGTCCATAACTCCAGTTCCAGGGGACCCAATGGCCTCTTCTGTTCTCCTCGGGCATTGCACGACACAGGTGCACTTACCTACATGCAGGCAATACATGCATACACATAAAATAAAAATAATAGGGCTGGAGAGATGGCTCAGTGGTTAAGAGCACTGACAGCTCTTGCAAAGGACCCAGGTTCAGTTCCCAGCACCCACATGGCAGCTAACAACAATCTGTAACTCCCATTCCAGAGGCTCCAATGCCCTCTACTGACCTCCACAGGCATTGCACACACATGGCACACTTGCATGCATGCAGCCAAAACACTCATATACATAAGACATAAAGTAAAAATAACAAAACATACATTTTAAGAGTAGAATGTAAGCCAGGCGTGATGACACACGCCTTTAATCCCAGCAGAAGCAGGCAGATCTCAGGGAGATTGAGTCCAGCCTGGTCTACATAGAGAGTTCTAGGCCAGCCATTGCTACTGGCAGACCTTGTCTCAAAAAGACCAAAACCAAACAAACAGGATATACGACAGTAACTCAGCTGTATTACAGGCAATGTCTTCATGTCTTTGAGTATACAAATACACTATTTTCTTGGAACTCAGTTCAGTCCTATATATAAAAAACAAGAGGAAAGAGGGACAAAAATGTGACTATGAAAAGCTCCCTATGTTTAAATATGTCTTTGGAAAAAAATTAAACATACCTCATGAATATTTTTAGAATTTACAGCAATATCATTTCGGCAGCGAACAAAGAACATACACAGTCCTTTTAGTTTATCTGGGGCTGCGTTGTCTACATACAATCTCATCATTTTCTTTCCTTTGGGTACTCCGACAAAAACTCGACCACATTCTGAAAACATAAGTCAAGAACTTAGCATACTGCACTCCTAACAACCCCCTCCCGAGGTCCCACACTGTGCCTGGCAGTGGCTTTGCCTCTGTGTTGGGCTTATGCAGGGGCGGTTTCTGTCATTTGAGGATTTTAGTCTTGGGAGAACTGATTCTCTAGAATGGACTTCCCACCTCCCTTGATGATCAGCTATGGTCTTGACTCCACATGAGGTCCTGGGCACCAGGCCTTGATGCTGGACCTCTCCCATTCCCAGACACCAAGAGGTTCCCATTACTTTTCTGTTTCTCTTCTACAGCCCCAGTGTACCTTCACCTGTGCCCTACAGAAAATGTAAGTCACCTAATTGAACTTCTAAAGATAAAAAATCATAGTGTTGGAAGTGTAAAAAAAAAAAAAAAAGAACAAAGGAAGGAAGGAAGGAGAAAGAGAGAAAGGAAGGAGGGAGAGAGGGAGGGAGGGAGAGAAAGAGAGAAAGGAAGGAAGGAAGGGAGGGAGGGAGAGAGAGAAAGAGAGAAAGGAAGGAAGGGAGGGAGGGAGGGAGGAAGGGAGGAAGGGAGGAAGAGAGAGAAAGAAAGGAAGGAAGAAAGGAAGAAGGAGAAGGAAAAGGAAAATTCAGAGGCTAGATCTATTTCCATAGTTTTAAAAGGGAGAGAGAGAAAGAAAGAAAGAAAGAAAGAAAGAAAGAAAGAAAGAAAGAAAGAAAGAAAGAAAGAAAAAAGGGCCATGACTGGAGCTCAGGCACAACATTGGATAAGCTCAAAGCCCAGAGTTCAATCACCAGTAGAGTGTGGGGATGGGGTGAGGGAAAATAAAACTATTCCAAGGGCTGGGGGTTTTAGCTCAGTCTGTACAAGGCTCTGGGTTCCACCATAAAAAAAGAAATAATCTAACTTTGCAAAATGTTATCATTTGGAGAATATTGGCTAAAATATAGAGAAGAGAACTGTGTTTTCTTCCTTAGGATTCATTGTAAGTCCACAATTATCTCCAAAATGTTTCTATAAGCCAGGCATGGTGGTACACACCTTTCATCCCAGCACTTGGGAGGCAGATGCAGGCAGATGTCTGTGAGTTTGAGGCCAGCCTAGTCTACCTGGTGAGTTCCAGGCCAGCTGGGGCTACAGGGAGACACTGTCTCAAAAAGAACCCCCCTAAAAATGTTTCTATAAACAAAATGAAACTAAACAAACAAAAAATTTAGTTGGAACAGGGAGGATATGGTCAAAATACACTGTTTAGTCAAAAAAATCAATAAAAATATTTTAAAATAAAGAAATTTAGAAGGCAGGCGTGGTGGTACACACCTGTAATCCCAGCACTTGGGAGGCAGAGGCAGGCAGATCTCTGTGAGATTGGGACCAGCCTGGTCTACATAGTGAGTTCCAGGCCAGCTGGAGGTACAGGGAGACCCAGTCTCAAAAAGATTTTAAAAAGAAGCTGGAGAGATGCCTCAGAGGTTAAGAGGCTGCTCTTGTAGAGGACCTGGGTTCAATTCCCAGCACCCACATGGTGGTTAACAACCATCTGTAGCTCCAGTTCCAGGGTATTCAGTGCCATCTTCTGAATTCCAAAGGCATTGCATGACACGGGTGCCCTTACATACATGCAGGCAATACACTCATACACATAAAATAAGAACAATAAATAAAATATTTTTAAAAAGAATTTGCCATACAATTTCATAACTGATCCAATGTGATAAATGGTCACTCCCTGGCCAGCCAGTCTAGCCTAATTGGTGAGATTCAGGCCAGTGAGAGAACCTATCCCAAAAGAGGTGGACAGCATTCCTGAGGGTGACACCTAAGACTGTCCTCTGACTCCCACATCCTGAGCACACGCATGTGCACATGCACCCATACACACCAACACACATGCATACAGACACAGTTTTTAAAGTAGTCTGAGACCAAAAAGATTGTCCCCATACCTAGTTATTGCAACAAAGTTTTAATAACATGGTTGCCTGTTAATTGACTTAGGAATAACATGAGGAAGAGGGAAAGCTAGATGTTGTAACTGACAGCTGCAGCGGTCTCAAAACACCAGGCCACAAGAGGCAGCTGTGCGGCTCTGAAGGGGCCTCATGGGTACTTATAGCCATCTGACAACATATGGACAATATGATCCCACCTGTTTCAGGGAATTGCAATTACATTCTAATGGAAATGTGTATTTCCCAGTAGAGGCCAGCAATATCTATAGCTCCTTAAATCTTAATAGCAATGTCCCAGATGTTTATTGGGGCTGGAAATGAAATGGTTTTTTTTTATTATTACATTCATTGATTTATCATGTGTGTGTGTGTGCTACAGCATGCATGTGGAGGTCAGAGGACAACTTTTGGAAGTCAGTTCTCTCTTTCTAACATGTGGGTCCTGGGAGTCAAACTCAGGTCATCAGGCTTCGTGGTAGGCACCTTTACCCACTAAGTCATTTTGCAGGCCCTGGAGTTTTCTTAAGATACTATTTTTTACATAAGTGTCTGGCAAAGTTTCCTTTGTAAAAGAAAGAAAAATCCCAGCACCCACGTCGTGGCTAACAACTGTCAGTAACTCCAGTTCCAGGGGATCCTATGCCCTCTTGTGTTCTCCTCAGGTACTGCATGACACAGGTGCACTTACATGCAGACACGGGTGCACTTACATGCAGGCAATACATTCATGCACATAAAATAAAAATAAATTTTAAAAATTAAAAGAAAAAATCATCTATATATAAGAGGAAAAATAGACTGCACTTCAGTCTTCAATAACAGCCTTACCAATCCCGGGCACATCTCCTTCCTGGTACAAAAACTTCAATGTCTTACAACCACCTTTCTCAAAAAAATTGTTGAATGGGTCCAGCTGTTAAATAAAAGAAAAAGGCATTAATAAAATGATAATGGGGGCTGGAGAGATGACTCAGCAGTTAAAAGCACTAGCTGTTCTTGCAGATCTGGGTTCAGTTCCCAGCACCTATATGGCAGCTAATAACCATCTGTAACTCCAGTTTCAGGAGATCTGACACCCTCTTCTGGCCTCCATGGGCACGCACATGGTGCACTTACACACATGCAGGCAAAATAAAATTGTGATGGAATTCCAGTGAAACCAAATAATCCCTGTACTATGTACTTCATGCATCTTAATCAGCATTCCTTTGCAGGTGAAGAAAATGAGACTCAAAGGCCTTACTGAAGAGCCTGGTTGTGCAGGCCCAGGATCCTAACTATTCAGAAGTCTAAGGCAGAAGGATCACAGATTCAAGGTGTGCCTGGGATGCTGTGTGAGTTCATGGCCAGCCTGAGCAACTTACTGATGCCCTCTCTCAAAATAAAATGTTAAAATAAAGCTGATGGGAGGGAGAGCACTTGTCTACCATATGCATGCTTCTAGGTCCAATTACTACTACTGAAAAAAAGGGATGAAAGAAGGAAAGGAAGAAAAGGGGGGAAAAGGAGGAGGAAGAAAGGAAGGAAGGAAAGAAAAAAAGAAGAAAGAAAGAAAAGGGAAAAAATAGATCCTAGGGAGAGATATAAAGGCCTGAGGCACAACCCAGCTGGAAGGTTTGAGAAATGGAAGGAGGCCAGTGTGACCTGAGGTTAATGGGTAAGAGGCAGAGTTGTGGGATCAGAGGGCGGTGTGACACCTAATTGCTGCAGGTCTTCTGGGCCTGCAGGGCTGATATTTAGCCAGTTCACATAGATAAAGCCTGCACTGTTTGGAGGGGAGGGGGAGGGGAACGGAGGAATGGAGAGGAAAGAAGGAGGGAGGGTGGGAGAAAGAGGGAGGAAATATAAAATATAAAAAAGATATACAAAGTCAGGTGCATGTGAAGTAATACCAAAATCAAAGCTAATTTAACTCCAATATTGTCAGAGAACATATGTGAATTCTTTTCTTGGTTTGTTTGGGGGCGGGGTGCGTGCCTGTGAAGACCAAAGGTAAACCTAGGGTGTCATTCCTCAAGCACCGTCCACTTGCTTTGTTGTTGTGTTTGTTTTGTTTTATTGTTGATACAGGCTGACCTGGAACTCACCGAATAAGTCCTAGGTATCCAGCCAGCAAGTCACAGGGATCCTCTTCTTGGCCCCACCCCACCATGCCTGGCTTTTCTGAAGCTCGAACTCAGGTTTGCACAGCAAGCACTTTACCAACTGAGCTGTCTCCCGAGCCCGTTTTTTTGTGGTTGCTGTTGATTTTTTGTTTAAGAGAAAAGCTCTCACAGCTGGACATGGGGGCACACACCTGGTGATGGCACATCACTCAGGAGGCTGAAGCAGGACATCAAGAGTTAGAAGTCAGTCTGGGCTATCTAGTGAGTTCAAGGCTGGTGTGGGTTATATAGGAAAACCCTGGCAGGCAAGAGGAGTAGAGAGAGAGAGCATCAGGGCAAGAGAAAAGGTCTCTCTGTGTTGCTGAGGCTGACCCCTAACTCTAAGGTTTACAAGACCCTCCTGAGCTGGGCTGGTAAGTCCTGCTTCTATCCTATGTTCACTAGCTACATAACTTTTCCTACCTACTTACTTGACCCAGGGTCATAGAATGTCATAGAAGAGGTATGCCCAAGTGGAGGTAAATATAAGGAACTGTTACTAAGAGAAACTGTTCTTTTAAAAAATTTTGTTGTGCTGGGTGTGGTGGCACACGCCTGTAGTCCCAGCACTTGGGAGGCAGAGGCAGGCAGATCTCTGAGTTCAAGGCCAGCCTGGTCTACATAGTGAGTTCCAGGACAGCTGGGGCTACAGGAAGACCCTGCTTCAAAAAGACAAAAAAAAATTTCTTTTTGTTGTATTTTAATTTTATGTATATGAGTGTTTTGCCTGCATGCATGTAAGTGTCCCACGTGTGTGCAGGGCCTGCAGAGGCCAGAAAAGGGCACTGGATCCCCTGGAACTGGAGTTATGGACAATTGTTAGTCACTATGTGAGTCCTGGGAACTGAACCCCATTCCTCTTACAAGAGCAGCCAGTGCTCTTAACTGCTGAGCCATCTCTCCAGTCCACAGAGAAACTATTTGTAAAAGCTAAGTTTTGCTTGACTAACTATTGAAGCAATGGAACTTTCAACAATTATAATTTGACCCATATTATAAACAAACTAATATTTAAAAAAAAACAAATTATCATGGGATTCCACCACACTTATGAACAGTTTTTCCTTAACTATCCGGGAGTCAGTGCAATATCTAGTAGCAGTAGAAGAAATAGGTCACTGTCCTAGTTTGTTTCTCCATTGCTGTGACAAAACACTCTGACCAATACCAACTTGGGGAGGAACGGGTTTATTTAGCTTACATCTCCTGGGTCACAGTTCATCAGGGAGCCCAAGGTAGGAACTCAGGGCAGAAACCTGGAAGCAGGAGCTGGAGCACAGGCCATGGAGGATCACTGCTTACTGACTTGCTCCCCTGACCCCTGCTCAGCCTGCTTTCTTATGCAACACAGGCCCACCTGCCCAGGGGTGGCACCACCCACAGTGGGCTGGGCCCTCCCACATCACTCAACAATCAAGAAGGTGCCCCATGGACATGGCCACAGGCCAGCCCAATGAAGGCAATTCCCCAATTGAGGCTCCCTCAACTCAGTTGTGTCAAGTTGACACTAAAGCTATCCAGCACAGTCACACAAGCAAACTCTCCAACATCATGAGTGAAATACCAGTTTAGCACATATTCACCCCCTAGTCCCACTGGTTTGGTACAGAAGTCTCTCTCTTGGGCAGTGGGTTTCTGTCCACTTACCACTCAGGTGATAACGGATAACAAAGCCAGTTCCCTTAGGGGATTTAAAAACTTTGTGTGCATCAGACAATCATATAGAGGTGTGTGGTGTAGATGCATATGTACACGTGTGTGTGCAAGTGCTCATGCACATGTATGCACATGTGTGTAGGCCAATGGCTAACCTCCGTATCCCTCGGGTGCTGTCCACCTTCTTCTGTTATTTGAGACAGTGTCTCTCACTGGCCTGAAATTCACCAGGTGAGCTGGGCAAGCAGGCCAGTGAGCCCCAGGCATTTGACTGTCTTAGCTCAGATCATAAGTATGTGCCACTGAGCCTGGCATTTATTTATTTATTTATTTAATTTGCTTTCAGCAAGGGTTCTGGGGATCAACCTTAGGTCCTCGAAAGCCAAGCACATTAGCAACTGAGCCATCTCCACCCACATAGAGGGTTCTTAGGGACACAAATTCGTGACACTGAGGGTCCTGGGACTGCATTTGAAAACGACACTAGGACAGATGAAGCAGAGTCAGATGTGTATGACTCTGTCTCTTAATTGTTTTTCCCTTCCATTTCCCCTGTAAACTTGACTGTCACATAATTTCAACCTAAAAGAAACAGAAGCTGTAGCACGGCTGTCGAAGCCAGTTCCATCGGGATTTCTTGCTGACCTTTTAGCTTTGCAAGTCTAAGAATTCTCAAAAGTACTACATATAACAGTGATGAAAAGACACAAGTGTATGAAATGCCCAAGAATTCTTGCCCTTTAGAATCATCACCCTCCTTAAACTAGCAAGTTGGATGTGCTCACGAACCAATATCAAGGCTGTCAATTGAAAATTTACTTATATTAGCAGGGCACAGTTGGGAGGTGTGGTGGTCTACACCTTTAATCTCAGCCCTCCAGAGGCAGAGGCAGGTGGATCTCTGTAAGATTGAGGCCGGCCTGGTCTACACAGTGAGCTCCAGGCCAGCTGGACCTACACAGAGATCCTGTCTCAAAAAGACAAAAAAAAAAAAAATCACTTATGTTACACAACGTTTAAAAATAGCTCACCTGGACTTCAGTACAACCTTTTACTAAGGAAGATAGCATTATCATACTGACATCCTCTACTGGCCTCCACAGGCACTGTACACATGTGGTACACATACATACATGCAGGAAAAATACTTATACACATAAAATTTACAAATTTTCTCTCTGTGTGTGTGTGTGTGAGTAGTAGTAGTAGTAGTAGTAGTAGTAGTAGTAGTAGTAGTAGTAGTAGAAAGATAGAGGAAGACACCCAATCAGGTGGGGTGGCACACTCCTTTAGTCCCAGCACTCAGGAGGCAGAGGCAGGTGGATCTCTGTGAGTTCAAGGCCAGCCTGGCCTACATAGGGAGTCCCAGGCCAGCTGGAGCTACAGGGAGACCCTGTCTCAAACAAACAAAAAAAAGTCAAAAAACAAAAACAACAACAACAACAAACTAACTTCTGGCCTCCGCACACATGCATGCACACACATGTGCACATAAACATAAATACACACACATACAAATGGAGTTATTGGGGGGGGGAATTATGGTAGGGAGGGAGTACAGTCAAGTGGGGAGTGACCACTGAGCCAGGTAGAAGGCAGGGAGCAAGAGTACCCACATGATCAATTCCACAGAGGTTAGCCCTCTAGACCACATCCTCTCTCTGCTATTCACCACCATGTGGTTCTTCTATGAGCTACTTTTCTCCTGGACTGCATGTCAGATTTCATATTAAAAGAATATTTCTCCAGATATCCATTTCTTAAACCACATCACTCCAACCATAGTGGTTTCAATGTCTCCCACAGGCTATGTGTTTGAACACTTGGTGCCCAGCTGCTGGTGCTATTCTGCAAGGTTGTGGAACATTTAGGAGGTGGAGCATCAACGGAGGAAGTCAGTTACTGGGGAACAGATCTGGAGGTCTTATAGCCTGGCTCACTTTCTGTCTACTTTCTGCTTCCTAACTGCAGATACAATATGGTTGAGCTCCTGTCACCATGGCTTCCCTACAAAGCAGGACTGTATCCCTTCAAACTGTGAACCAAAATAATCCTTTCTTCCCTTAAGATGTTTCTTGTCAGATGGTCTACCAAAACAACAAGGAGAGTGACTATCTTATCATCTCCATCTTCTTACTCACCCAGCCATCAACCTTGATGCTAACTTACTTTTCCCTCCTTGCTTCGACTCTCTAGACACATAAGCACTTTAATACTCTCTCAGGTTTCCACCTTGGTTTCCCTCCTGCTTAGACCATCTTCCCTCCACCATGACTTTGTACAACTCCTGTGGAAGTACCTGTTCTATGTACTTGATGCTTCCTTTAACATGTACATTTCCTGTTTTTTGTATGATACAGTGCCTAGTCTGGTCCATGATGGTTTTAAAGGTAGAATATATGATTATATGGATTTGAATCTGAGACATACTCCAGGAGTGGCAAGGTAAGGTGGTTTGAATGAGAAATGTCCCCCATAGGGTCATGTATTTGGACACTTGGTCCCACCCAGTTGGTGGCGCTGTTTGGTGAGATTATGGAACCTTGAGGAGGTAGAACCTTGCTAGAGAAAGTACATCACTGGGGGACTGGTTTTGAGGAATTATAACCTGATATCTCTCTCTCTCTCTCTCTCTCTCTCTCTCTCTCTCTCTCTCTCTCTCTTTCACTCTCTCTTTCTCCGCCCCCCCCTCCTGTGTGTAGATGAAAATGTGATCAGCTAACTTCTTACCACTGCCACAATACCTGCCTGCCACCAAGCCACGCCACGCCTTTATGCCATTATGGACTCTATTCCCTCTGGAACCATAAGCAAAAATAAACACATTTTTCCTTCAGTTGCTTTTGGTCACGGTTTTTTGTTTTGTTTTGTTTTTTTGTTGTTGTTTTGTGTTTTGTTGCTGTTGTTGTTTTTAAATCACAGCAACAGAAAAGGAACAATACGGAAGGGTTTGCAGACACTCCCTGAAAGGGCTTCCACATTCATGCTTACTAGCCAGTGAGAAAGATGTTTTCCAAACAGGGAACACCAGCACAAAGCCCAGCTGGCAGGTACAAAAGTCAGATTGCAAGCTCTGCAAGACTTCTCCATGCTGACACAGCAGCACGCCCCTGAAGGCAGTGGTCAGCCCCCGCACACCCAGTGTCTGTGCCTGCACCTCTCCAGGGCCACTGGGATTCCAGTGTGGAGGAAGCCAAATCTATGCCTTGGCATTTTTCAGGAGAAACAAGGTTGATCACCTGTCTGGTGTCCTCCCTCACCAAGTACAGGAGTGGTGGCTGGGACATGAGACCCTCAGAGAGACACCTTTTCAGAAACTAACCTTCCCTTCATCTGACTCTCAGCACTTCTGGGATGCAGATAGCATGGTTTGCACCAATGGCTTCTCTGTGGAGTGTAGGAAGACATGTAGCCAGAGTCGCCTCAGGAGCCCAAATAGTCAAGAGGAAGGGAAGACATTAAAACACAACCTGAGGAGCTGGAGACACGGCTCAGTGGTTAAGAGCACTGACTGCTCTTGCAGAGGACCTTGGTTCCGTTCCCACAGCTAACAACCATCCATAACTCCAGTTCCAGGTGATCCAACACCCTCTCTTGACCTCCGTGGGCATTACACGACATGTGTGCACTTACATACATGTAGGCAATACACTTATCTACATAAAATACAAATAATAGCCAGGTATGGTGGTGCACACCTTTAATCCCAGCACTTGGGAGGCAGAGGCAGGCAGATCTTTGTGAGTTCGAGGCCAGCCTGGTCTATATAGTGAGTTCCAGGACAGTTGGGGCTACAGGGAGACCCTGTCTCAAAAATACCAATATATATAGAGAGATATATATATATAAATAATTTTAAAGACACAACCCAAAAAGGACAGTGAGAACCCTCTTCAGATTGAGGTGATATTTTTAACAGTTAGGACTGCCTGTAAAATACGTGCAGCCTAGGGCAAAATGAAAACATTGAACCATTGTTAAAAAGAATTTCAGGATGGTTGCTGGCAGCTGTAGCTGAGTTACAGAGTAGTTGCCTTGTATGTAGGACGTTCCAAGTTAGATACCAAATACCCAAGAACGAAAAGGAGAAGCAGGAAGAGGAAGAAGAAGAAGAGAAGGAAGAAAACATAGAAGAGAAGAAAGTAAAGGAAGAAGAGGACAAAGAAAAAGAATTATTCAAAATAGCTGCCTTAAATCATTACACCAAGCGCAGGGGCCTGTGTGACTCCACAGCTCCCAAGTCCATGAAGGAGGCCTTGCTGAGAAGCTACATTCTAAGAGGGACCTTTGATGACCTAGAAAACCACACCCTGTTTCCGTTCTGTTGTTTACTACTGCGCCTCTTATTTAATTCACCCAACTCCATGCATTCTCCATCATCCCTCACCAAAACAGCTTAAAGCTATTGGTACCTTTGCATCCATCACAACCCTGGGGCTTTCTGGTCAGCCAGTTTAGCCAACTGGTGAGTTCTATGTTCAGTGAGAGACCCTGACTCAAAAAAAAATATATATATATGTGGTGGAGAGGCCTCTGGCCTCCACATGCATATGTGTGCACATGCGTTCCTACAAACCCGCCCACACAGGCACAAGATACAAAATAAATAAACGAACAGAAAAACAGAATGGCAAGACTTCAGTTTACCGATGGGCAATCCAAAATTAATTCTTCAACCGTTGTTAAGTCCAGCCCAAGCTTTTCTGATAGAATTTCAAATATGTATTGGTATGATGAGTCAATTTTCATCTTCCGGGTTTCCCTTGCTTCTCTAAATCTTGCCTGAAAGAGTGAATGCACAAAAAAGTAATTATGAAGAAACACATTTTAAAATAATCGAAGCGTTACGCTTGGAAAGTCATGTCAGCTGCAAACCTGTCTCTCTTTCAACGTCTCCTGCAGGTTCGGAATGCCACTCATACTTCGGCGGTACTTGGAGGACCTCGGGGAAGAGTTAGAAAGTACATCTGACAGGACGGACTGCACAGGCCGTGGAGCCGGTCTAGGTCTGACCCTGCTCGGCACTGACTCATCATCCGGAATAGTTAACTTCTCAACAGAAGGAATGAGACTCCTATAGTCAATCACAGAAGGTCCAGGGCCAGTGGCAGAGAGAGGCTTGGAATCGGTTCCTGGAGTGGATGGGACTTCTGTTTCGGAAATGGGCGAGCCCTGGTCACCTTCAGTGGGCGGAGTCTCATCTTCAGTGGCAGTGGGCGGGGCCTCGTCTGCGGGAGGCGGTGCCTGCTCATCAGGTGGGGGCGGGGCTTCCTCTTCAGTGGCTGGAGGAGCCTTCTCCCCCTGCGTAGGTGGTGGGCCACCTTTCTCAGACTCCATGGTTTCAGTATGGTTCCCTCCTTTGGAGGATCTCCAAGGTCAAAACCTAGAATATGAAAACGTTTTCTTTGAAAGTTGTGCAATAAACTGCATGCAGGGTGTTTTGTCTCTCCCTGTGATGGCTGAGCTTGATTGGTCAGCTTGACACACCTGGGAAGAGGATGCATCAATTGAATTGACTCCATCAGATTGGCCTATGGGCATATCTGAGGGCATTTTCTTTCTTTCTTTTTTTTTTTTTTTTTTAAGTCAAAGTCTCACTTTGTAGCCCTAGCTGGCCTGGGACTCGCTGTGTGGACTAGGCTGGCCTCCATCTCACAGAGATCTGCCTGCTTCTGTCTTCAAAGTGGGATTGAAGGTCTGTGCCAACCACACCCTGCTGAAGGTATTTTCTTGATAGCTAATTGATGTGGGAGTATCCGGCCTACTGTGGACAGTACCATCCCTAGGCAGGTGGGCTGGGCTGTATAAGAAAGCTGACCCTGGACCTAGAAGCAAGCCAGTAAACAGCATTCCTCCATGACTGTAACCTGAAGGCATGAAATGAAATAAACTCCCTGGCCGCACCCCCCCCCC